TCTCCCTAACCTTAATTCGACGGTTGTCCATTATCATTTGATGAATTTTTTCGATGTTATCGGTGGTGGTCGTAGTTGTTGGCCGTCCCGAACGCTCACTATCAGCTAAGCTGGTACGATCACGTTTAAATTCAGCTACCCATCTTTTCACGGTGGCAAATGATGGGGCAGAGTCGCCGTAAACAGCGTCCAACTCGGCTTTAATTTGCGTAGACGTATTGCCTTTCAAATGCAAGAATTTAATTATAGCACGATATTCAATTTTTTATATTTTTACAAAATGACGACACAAATGATTGTCAAACAAGAACTGAACGTCCAAAGTGGTCACAATTGTCACAGATATCTTTCGTAAGAGTATCACGATTATAATACCAGAATGGCTTTGAAGAGTAACGCCATCTTCATGATGAGGCTCAAAACTTTTCAGATGACCCTCGTATTGTCACGGTCATGACCTTGAATAATAATCAACGTTTTAAGTCGCTCGTAATGTAAATTTTGTGATATAATGATTTTCATGTATTCATCAATAATTTTTGAAGGGGAATAATATTACCAATAGTGCAAAAATATTACCTTTTTAATTATGTTTAATGTTTTCACATTACTATTATTATTTCTATTACACTAAAAAGTGATTTTATAAAAGAAAAAAAGATGTATGAACATGTATAGACATATTTCATATATAATTATATATGTTTATGAATTTATAATTATTTATGCGTGTCATATGTTTATATAATACATATTTATACATATTCACGAAAAATTTTTTACCGGATCTTTTAATCTATTTTATTGTTAACAAAATATATATATTATTCGTTTATTTACAAAGCACCTAATTCTTGCGTCGCAATGACACTTAATACAATTGCAATTTAAATACTTAAAGTACTTACACACAAAAGTTATTTAGATTAATTTTGTTATTATATATATTTTTCAAATTTTATTAGTATTGTAATAAGAAAATAATAACAAATAAAGTAAACAAAAATGTGTCTAATAAAAATAAAATGCTTGAAATACAACTTAATTCATATATATATAGCTTATTTAAAATATAAATATTAACACATTTGTAAAAATATAATAACCTTAATGTTAATACTTTTAAGCGAAATAAACGTCACGCGCATGTAAGATTGCAGAGATTAATATTTCTGATCCACAATTTGTGAATGTAGCACGATTATACGAAACAAGTATCAATTTATCATCTCGAGTTGAAAAGTGGACGTATTACCCTCAGAGCTATGTAGTTTACATCCACTTTGTCGGAGGGCAGTAGTGCGCGACAGTATTTTGCGGTTACAGGTTTTAGGCCAGCATTACCTCTCTCAGGTTCCTCTCTAATATAAGGTTAAAGCTGCGTTCGGCGTATTGCTTTCAGCGTTTTCATCCTTGTTTGACATTTAAGAACAATAAAGATACAGAATGATATTTATAATTGCTTAAAGCATAATCGGAGGTGGCGGAGCTATTCTGTATAATTACCATTATACAGCTATTCTGTATAATTATCCACATAAGTATCAAAACCG